TTGTTCCGTTCCCCCAAGTCTGACAGCCACCTTCTAAACGAGCTTTGTAATGCGTATTTTCGTAAACCTCCGTACAAATTTGTCTGTAAATTATGACATTACTGCTGTGGAAACCGTTCTTGCGGTTCACCGTAATTCCATCTGGTCGGATAAGCTATGAAACAGTATCCGATTGGAGGCGAGATGGCCCAAGTGGTTAGAGCGCGGATTTACTGACCGGAAGGTCCGTGGTTCTAACCCGACATTTGCCTCTCGACTTCCTCTGACTAGGCTTAGGCAACCTGGCAGTATCCCAGCCCTCGTGCTTCCTTCGGGTGGCATGGCAGTTAGGCACCGGATGGGGTGTTACAGCTGAACAGTATCCGAGTTGGCTGAAACGGTAGACAGGATTGGTAGCATTCTTTAAAGTATAGTAGCTCTTGAAGTTGGTGCCCGAAGAGATGTATGCGAATTCATTAAGGACCGATTACTCATTTGCTGTCAGAGATACGGTATAAATGCAGCACCGCTTCAAACCCGGTTCACTTATTCTTTACTGTTCAATCGATACAGTGAACTTTCTGCATGACATGTAATGTTTCTTATCGGTTCGCTTCCGAGAGTCACCAAAAAACCCCGTTTAGCTATAGCGCCCTTTCGGTGCCTAACTGCCATGCCACCCGAGGGAAACTTGAGGGCTGGGATACCGTCACTCGCATTTCAAACGTCTGCCTGTCCTGGCGCAGTTATTCCGGTGAACCCACGCCAAAGGGGGAAGAACTGAAATTGCGCTCACTTGCAACTGATCGAGAACTAGCCAGCAGGCATCCCGTGGTGCTACCTGACTGGGAAGTCCTGATAGACAGATTGTCGGTCGACGTAATCAGGACGGTTATCGTTCGAGACGTCGGACAGACCAAAGCGTAAACATCTTTCCCATTTGGAAGGGGACAGTCCAGGCGCATCAAGCATGCGCTGATAGAGTGTCGTTAAGACACTCGACTCGCATCTGCTGGAGTTCGAATTCCGCCACGGCCAAGAATGAGCACTGCTAATGAGCTCTAACAAGAGCGAAAATCGAGTCCGCTGAGTCCCCTTCTGATGCGGACTCACCAGAAAATTCACAACAGGATGGGAGGAGAACTGTTCATACGCGACGGAATGCCACATTTTGTCGTAGGAAGTTTTACTCATTTCGTAGAGGTTTTGCACCTAAGAGCCCTCCAGTCGGATTGGCAAGTCGAACGTAAGGGACCTCTTCAGATCCAAATGGTTCCAAACCTGGCAACTATTGTCCAACTTGACTGTGATCACAACTCAGGAAGGGGGCAAGATCTGTGCAAAAAGAATTCCACAGCAAACAACCAGAAACACGCTGGCAGAGGGGATTTGTCATCTGGCTGTTGATTCAAATGGCGCAATCGATTTCCCTTTTAACCTGAAAAAAGTCGTTTTGATTCATCTGGACCATACCAGTGTTAGTAACTCTCTTGTAGGCTGAGTCGTAAAGAGTTGGCTGGCGAACAGCAGAATGGTTCTGACAGGCGGTCACTGAATCTCGGCAGGTTCTGATAATGAATGAATGAAAGAAAAGTGAATCTTACGATGTATGATGAATGTCTCCGGTCCTCTAGAGATCACTAGCCAGTATTGTTTGGTTGCTGGTCTGTTCGCCGAGCTTGGCAGTTGGATTGCAAACGGTTCATCACCAATCGAGGTGACATCATCAGTGCACGGTTGAGTGGGTCACCCATTTGGCGAACAGACCAACAACCAAACAGCACACCCGAGCTGCCTAAATTCCACAACATCGCTAAGCCAGTATTGTGCAAGTTACATCTTTACAGCCACGTAAACAAGTTAGTTACGTAGATACACACCATCAGCCAGGGAAAAGTGTGACTTCGGTATCTGCCTGTCTTCAAAGGCAGTTCAACAAGACGGAAACCTCAAGAAATATCTTGCATCCCATGAAACTGCCCAGAAGCACGAAAAGCAACCTTCCGAAAAACGGAAGTAACGCAACGGAATGATCTAAATCTCTAATAAGACTCATATTTCACATACTTGAAACCAGATTTCTTGCCTAACTATTGCGCTGACCACCTCTGATCGCCGGGAGTGAGCTCCAGGAAAAGGGTATATCAATCATCCGAGGATTTAGGGTGTATTCTTGGGCCTCACTTCCGTGATGTGTCCTTGACAATGAGAAAAATTTCCCCTGATGTCCAATTCGAGATGATGACCCACTACTAATAAAATCATAAAGTTTTATAATGAGCAGTGAGGAACAAGCTAATGCGCAACATTGTACTTTGGTCCCTTGGGGGCGACTGTGATAAAAGGCGACCGCTTCACTCCAAAATCAAAAAGGTTTCCATTGTCAGGCTCACAATAACTGAGTTACTCCTTAAGTTAAACCAGATCTCGTAAATATATGTTTGGCTCAATTGGAACCCAGCCAATCTATCGGGTTGTGATGTCTCCAGGCAACTGAATGTACTGCACCAGGCCACCTCCTGGTTCAGCCTCTACGATATTCGATATATTTGTAATGCACTACTCATAAGGTTGTTGAAAATTCATTGACAGCCCACCACTGATGTCACCCTACTTGGAGCTCATCAGGTGAGCGCAGTCCCCGAGTTTCCATCAACCTTATGTCCTACTTGAAACCAAATCGTACGAAGTAATCGAACCAGACTCATTTGCAAACAAATTTGGTTTTGCGAGAGGCTCACCTGGAACCCAGCCTGGAAACATCACAACCGAAAGATTCATCTTGGTTCGAGGTAGGTTTATCGCAAAGCCAAATTTGTTTGCAAAGGAGAATATTTCTCTAATTTCGCGCAATTTGCTTTCAAGTAGAACATAAGGTTGACGGAAACTCGGGGACTGCGCCTACCTGATGAGCCCCAAGAAGGGCGAAACAGGTCATGGGCTGTCCAACAATTTTCAGCAACCTTATGAGTAGTGCATTACAAATGTGGTTGGCTCTGTTGAGGGATTACTGTTTTCCTCATCACGGTGAGGTCCGAACCACTGCGTCCAACACCGTAGTCCTATGAGTGGACTGAATCTTGCTGTCGTCTGGTCTTCTGTAATTTAGTTCAACTAAATAGTTACTCCTAAAACAAAAACCGCTACTGTCGTTCCACAGTCCATCGATCATAGAGAGGTTGACCAGTAGCCAGACTAAACCAGTGACCAGGTGCCCTGTCATGGAATCAGGTATCCTTGCAACACAATAATCACATGTATCCTACAAACGTATAACACGGTGAATAAACTCACCTAATTTTCCGATGGAGAACATTCGGTTTCAAAAGTTTATTCGGTAACTTATTGTCCGAACGGTTTTTCGACCATGACGGACTGACAACCATGCTTTGCTGGTTGCGTGTACTCGCCTGAAACGAGGCCATCATCATCATCATTACCCACTTTGGAAGTCTTTCACCACTCTTCTCAAATGCCGACCATAAACGTTTTAAGCACGAACTCGTGGGAATGATTAATCGGCCGATCTCATTCATGCCACAGAGTCGAACGGTAGACTGCTCATGATGGAACACATTCAAATCGATTTTGGCGCGCGCGGTTTGACAACCTGGATTAAGTTCATGTTCGTTCGCCGAAAATAAACACAACACAAAATATGCTGGGTTTCCGACACTGAAGTTGTTCAAAATAAAATAAGTTATTTCCACTTTTTAGGCATTAGAATTTAGCTCGAACTAAGAGACTGCTTTTTCATGTTGGGTTGATATCCATCGACGCGCTATTTTATAAGGTTCGGAAAAGGTTATTAGAAATATTGGAAAATGAAACATTCTGTAGGCAGCAAAACGGTCTTATAATAGCAGAACAACAGAACCCTAAACCAAAGGTAATGAAATGAATGAATGGGAGACATTCCAAACTGACGTAGCCAGTTTGGCGGTAACTAGGTCTTAACCACTCCATCACTGGAAAAGTGGCTATCCATAATATATTTATAAATATCTTCCAAGTGCTCCTATTTAAAACAGAGTCGTAAATTGAATAAACACAGCACTCATAAGGTGTAGGTCTTAACCACTCCATCACTGGAAAAACTGGCTATCCATAATATATTTATAAATATCTTCCAAGTGCTCCTATTTAAAACAGAGTCGTAAATTGAATAAACACAGCACACTACTCATAAAGTGGCTGAATACTCTTCGACAGCCCACGATCGATTTCAGCCTTCTCGAGACTCATCAGCTGGGTGCATTGTCTGAGTTTCATTCAAACTTATGTTCTAGTTGTACCCAGATTTAAAGAGAACATCAAAAAACGAGAGATTCGTTTCATTCTCCCATGAAAACCAAAAATCCGTATGCAAATGAGTGGGATTGTGCATTTAGCCTAATTTTAGTCCAGTACTACACCGTGTGTGTGTGTGTTAACTTAGAAAATGCTGACAACCAGTGCAAACGCTACTGAACCAAATGGAAATCTCGCCACTGTTAAAAGTCATGCAGTCTTGCAATATGTTATTCAGTATCTCAGCGGTTTATTCACCGAAGAAAAAAACACGAGAAACTTACCGCACAGAAGGTCCGTCGTTCGAACCGAACCCCGGTATCTGGATTGCTCCTCGATAGACTTTGGCAAACTGGCAGTGTCTCAGACCTCGTGCTTCCTTGAGCAGCATGGCAGACATTGCAACCACCATCAGAGTGGATAGCACTCACTTAGCGGAAACTTATTTCCACATGGTTCTGGCAAGTGGCAATCAGCATTCTGCCTTCAATGACATTAATGGATGGATGGCTAGGTGGCTAGATAGTTCCACCATTTGCCTTCATCACATCTATTGCCAGCAGTATAACTACCGACGACCAAACATCAGTGTTCAAGAGTGATGCCTCGCTGGTCGCATAGGCGAATCGATTTTTGCTTTTTTGGGATAAATCCTAGTCACGGTGGGTGTAATGTTTGAATGAACACAAAATTTATCAAGGACTGATTTTGCCAAAGTCTGTTAAATTTGACTACGCAGACACAGCGGGATAATTTTGTGAAGATTTTAAAATCGCATTGCGGAATAATGGATCGTTTGACAACACAGTGATGCAACATTCCGTTGTATCGTAATTGGCGAACCGCAACTGGTTCCCCAAAGACGGCATTTGTATTGTCTTGACTGCAGAGCGCATTCTAAGCTCATTTTCTGTAATGATAGTAGAAGCTTTATAAAAGTCACAGTGCAGAATCAGGTGGGAGCGTCCTATTCAACAGAAGTCCCTACGATGAGATGGCATATCAGCCCGCTTCCTTTCCGATTCGGAAACCGAACACGCTGCTATGTGCAATACCCGCACAGTGTTCTTTTAATGAAATGTCTGTCCCAAGTGGCCTACTGTTTCGTTATGTAGTTTGCACCTTCAAAGTTCAAAGTCTTACTTCAGGACTCTCCACTGACGCTTTAGAATGAGGGACTTGATTAAGTCGATAGGCTTGCTTGTCTATGCAATCGCCCAAGCCGTGACTGCATTGTGTCAGAAAGAGCCTATGCAAGAATCATCAAGACACGAACAGTATTCACCCGTTCGGGTTGTCCTTGGCGTAACGCAGCTACCCAGTTCCCGAAATAACTAATCGTTCCATCGCCTCCAAGGCTGTATGTCCCACATTGTCCCACTTCCCAATGATCGAAACTGTAGCATTTGGAACCAGTGTGCCTATGGTACAAAAGTGACGGCAATGAATCTCAGCTCTTCCAAACTGAAGAGAGGAAAAAGCATTCAACCGCCTAATCACCCAGGTTGCCGTAGTATAGCGAGTGTTAACTGGCTACCGCGTGTACTTACTGGAACGGCCAGGTGAGCACTAGGTGATGAGCTGTACTCACTTGAACTGCAGTTGAACCTTGTCACGTCTATCAGACAGAACCGCTTTCCACCATTAACCCATCTTAGAGAACGGTTTTTATCGGCGGACAGCCTATAGAGCGGATGCAGAGCGTTGTACGGTCTGACTGCAAAAGTACAACCAACAATCACAATGTGAATACGGTGTGTGGACTTTCTGACTGCTGCTCACTAGAATGGATCGATTTATTTTGAACTCGGTGGTCCAATAACAAATTCTCTTTAGGCAAAGCTTGTCGTGAGCATCATTTACGAAAGTATCCTGTGAGAACATTGGTGCCTCACTGCCGCACAGCTATGTCGATTTAACCAAAGAAAACCTTATAATGAAAATAAGAGGCAGGGAGGAAGACCTACCTCTCGCCAACCGCAAGTATCCGAGGTGCCTACACCTCCAGCAAACAGCGTCGGCCAGCACCCAAACTTTTCGAAGCCTTTCAAACTTGTCAAATTCTGTCCACATCCGGGTTTAAACCAATTAAAATTAGGCACGGAACACAGCGCTTCCTCGGCTGGTGGTGTGACTGCTGCTCACTAGAATGGATCGATTTGTTTTGAACTCGGTGGTCCAATAACAACTTCCCTTTAGACAAGACTTGTAATGATCATCAGTTACGAAAATATCCGGCGAGATCATTGGTGCCTCACTGCCATACAGCCATGTCGATTTAACCAAATAAAATGAAAATAAGAGGCAGGGAGGAAGACCTACGTCTCGCCAACCGCAAGTATCCGAGGTGCCTATACCTCCAGCAGACGGCGTCGGCCAGCAGCCTTATCCTTCAGTGTCTCAGGGAGGGACACGAGGACCCCACACCGGAAGTCCAACGGCACCAAGAGCACCCAAACTTTTCGAACTTGTCAAATTCCGTCCACCGTTAGGTCTAAACCAATTAAAATTAGGCATGGAACACAGTGCTTGCCTCGGCTGGTGGTAACCCGGCCTAGTTGCAATGCTGGATGCATTCTTTGGGGGAAGTGCCTTCTGCTGGTTGCACGCAATTCTGCTTATACTTCTAAGACGTCACTGACCGAAGACCCGGAAGATGTTTTAGATCCCTCGCCGGAAGTTGCTCAGTTTCCCAGCCGTACAACAGTGCAGCCAGCGCTGCAGTGGGATAAACACGGCATTTGGGACAGAGTGATGTGTCTTTTTGATTCCGCAGACGCGGTTTCGGTCTTTGAATTTCGTGCGTTGACTTCGTCTGCCACACTACCGTCAGAACTAATGCAATGTCTGGGATACGTATGGTATTCATGACCTCCAGCGTTACTCTTTGCACAGGTTGACCTGGCACTTTTTGCAGCCAGCGCTGCAGTGGGATAAACACGGCATTTGGGACAGAGTGATGTGTCTTTCTGATTCCGCAGACGCGGATTCGGCCTTTGAGTTTCGTGCGTTGACTTCGCCTGTCAAACTACCGTCAGAACTAGCGCAACGTCCGGGATACGTATGGTAGTTCACAATCTCCAGGGTTACTCCTTCAATCTCTAACGATATTTTCAAAAGTTGTACATTGCACAGGTTGACCTGGCACTTTGTGGACGCGAAATGATTATCTTTCAGCTGTGATGCCCTTTCGGTGCTTAGTTTTCATGTTAAGATCTGAACAGTAGGTTTTGGAAGAGCCTCGTCAGTGACAAAAATGAACAAAAACTGAGTTTTCAGCTTATTCGCAGTTAGTCTGTTGATCCGAGCTGGTTACAGAGACGATCTGGGTGAATTCCAGCTAGAGATACGCTGAATTTGTTACTTTGGTCAGCTTTCCTATCAACGCTTGCACTCTGTTCCTTTTGGGAAATGAGAACATTGTAATTTACATATTCCAGGTCGACAAGGGAAAGATCTGAGCAGTAGGTTTTGGAAGAGCTTTGTCAGTGACAGAAATGAAAAAACTGAGTTTTTAGCTAATTCGCTATTAGTCTGTTGATCTGGGCTGGTTACAGAGACGATCTGGGTAATATTCCAGCCAGAGATATGCTGAATTTGTTACTTTATTGAGTAGCCAGACTGACCGACTACTCATCATGAGACCAGCTCACTTCTACTCATTCATCTGACCATGCAATTTGGAAGGCGTCATTCCATGCGGTGTGCCTCAGTAGCTGGCTGCACGGGTGAGATAATGCTCCGACGACTTAGTCTGAATTCGTCTTAGAGTTTGAAGGACGACATTGAGTGTGATGCCAGTTACAAGGGGAATTTCGCGAATTAGTCCATCATTATCTGTCGATTTCATCACCAATTAAGTAAATCGGTAAATTCATTAGATAAATCTGCGCGTGTGAACTCTTATTTGGAGGGGTGTGCAACTGCTTGGCCTCAGAAGTGGTCCCTTGAATGCATGTTGCTCTACGGCAATTGTACACCTCATAAGCCAATTTGGAACTTGGTTTTATCAACGCTATCATCGAGATTTAATACATGACCAAAAATGAAGTAGATACTCTGAATGCCGGTAAATAATCTGAGTTAGGGTATGGCAACAAGCCACGACCAACAGATACTTCTCGATTGATGGAAATTCAAATAGGACTGCTTTTTCGCGTTAAAAAAGTTCCGCACCATCCGATAGAAGTTTGGAGATGGCACGAAGCTAGGTTGAATGTCCGAGAGCTGTTCAGCCAAAGGATATTGTAAATAAGCGTTGAAGCATACTTAGATTCATCTAGGCGCATTTCAAAATTCCTTTTGAGTCATTTAGGGGCATAGCAATTGCGCAAAGTAAAAACCGTGGCAATGAGACTGCATGCTATGGACCAGTCAAGATGTCGTGCGATTCTGTGTGCAAGTCATCACCTTACAATAGATGGCTCCTGATCGGTCCATTATTAGTTCCTTGTGGTTGCGTGATTTGTAAAACTCCAAAGCTAAGGATCACCGAACTCAAGTTTCGCCTTCATCAACACTAAGTATCCTTGGTCATTGGAACCCCGGATATCTGACATGGGTGTTGAGCGTGTTATCGCTACTCCACCACCAGCGCACACTGAACACAAGCGTGTTCAGATGTACCCAGCGTTCACTGGTGGAGTAGTGGTAACACGTTCCAACGTTGTCATTCTTGTCTCTCTCGAAGGGTGTGGGATCAACGCGGCTGATAAGATTTTACTCTAACATCAGACCATCTAAAGACGTAGATGCCTCGTTCTTGATACTTTTCTCGAAGGACAAACGACCCTTGTCACAAAGCTTTCATCTATTATTAGTTCCTTGTGGTTGCGTGATTTGGTTTCTTTTTACTGACCACTGGGGTCCCCTTCTTTTATGGTTATGTGGCAGTTATTTGTCGATAATGATGATGTAGCGGTTGACCGTGCAGATCAAATCGTACTCAAAATGAATCTTTTTCTGAGGACGTTCCAACTCTTATCACGAGGATGTGTTTGGTAGAGATATGATATGATTTGACGGGTATCACTTAGTTATGAGCACATTTAAGACCAGTCTATTATTTTCAGATGAGCAGATTACTGTACGAATGAGTGTAGTTCGTGAACTCTGTCCAGTTTGAATCAACGTGGAACATAAAGTTTCCTGAAGCTCGGAGAATGCGCTAACTGTTCAGCCCGAAGAAGGGCGAAAACGGTCGTGGATTGTCGGAGGGTTCCACCATTCTTATGGAGAGTGAAACATAATTCCCTGTTCTGGCAGTGAAGTCGCTGTAGCCAAAACAGAATTACTGGCACAGGTTTGCCGAAGGTGTCTCGCAATTTACCCGACCATTTAGTCAGTCTGCGCCCGGTGTCGCTCATTAATTGTGCTGGGTTTACAATAGCGTGATATTGGCAGAACATGTGATGTAAACCCCGACGAGTAGGCGATTAATGCGGAATGGAAGTCATCCGGAACAAGCTCTCTTCTGTGTGAAGGGCAACTGTGACAAACGTAAGTCTTGACAGAATCCACCACCATTGCACCAGTATGCGGCGCGCAATTAATCAGAAGGTCGTCAGTTATTAACAAAACAGTTCTTCTTTGGAGATGGTTTATTAGACTTCATTAGGAAAGATTGGATAACCACGAATTAATCAAGTTTGCCTGTCTAAGGCGTCGCTTTCGAATGTCCGCAGACGAACATTGAGACGGCGCGCAAAATAACGTTACCCGAATGGTGTTTGGGGCTGACACTGAAACAGCAGGAAAAAAGAATCAGGGATAAACTGATTTGCAGACAAATTAGGTTCTGCAAGAGACACACCTGCAACCCAGCTGAATCTCTCATTTATGATGTTTTGGCTTCAAGTAGATCATAAGGTTGAAGGAAACTCGGGGACTGCGC